TGTCGAATGTTTGAGAATTTTGTTTCTTGAGTGACATTTTCAATAATTTCTGTTTTGATTTAATATGGCCTGCACTAGCCTCTTTACGTATTTGATGTGATTGTGTTGCTTCCTATAAACATAAAAAGTGAATTAGTTTTAGTTTAGGTTTAAATATAAAAATAGAACGCAAAAACAATTTTTCATTAATGACAACTCCTTCGAAAATTAATAATTTTTCTTAAATAGATGTTAAAATCTATTTGCAGTATTAATTTTATTTATACTTAAAATGCCTTAAGTCATGCTATAAGTAAGTTGATATAAAATTCATCTCATAATTAACTAAGCTTTTAAGTTATAACCATTTATTGTAAAACATGATCCAACTATATCTTATATCTCTGTGATATCATAACAGAATATTATTTAAGTTCAAGTATGGTTTGGTGTCGCCACTACAACCTATCCTAACATCTTATATAGGTTCCAGAGCATTGAGGTATTGTGAAGGATAAATTCACTTGACTACTTGGCTAATGAACGATATGCTGACATACTTATAACAAATACCCATCCGAATCCTAACCCATGTATTTGCCTTGTAATTCCTTTCATGTTATCTGCTTTACAGATGATCTATTTAGTGTTATCGATGCAGTATTTCCCTCATTTGATCAATGACTTTCTAGGATTCTGAACGAAAATTTTCAAACGAAGGAAAACTTGGTAAAGAAAGCTTGAGAAAAATGACGAAACATCTTTTGTAATAACTTAATTGGCTGATCGGGGTCACCGCAAAGTGAACACGATATGGCCAGGTTGGATGTCAACAGATTTTCAACATACCTTTCTTGCCTCAAGTCTGTGGATAACACAGTACACTTTGTATATTATTGTCCAGCATTTTCAAAAACTATATTAAGATAATTAGTTTATGATATCTTGAGCAAGAACAATGTTTAAGCTTTCATATTACCTGATCTTCTTAAATTAAGTAAGGGAACTAAGAAATTCGAGGAAGAGTACCTTATTGTTGCATTTCAAATTTTTTTTATTTCTGTTATTTATAATTCCTTAAAAGGGTCAACAGACTACAAAACTACAAAATAGTTTGGTTGGGACATAGCACGAAAACATTTATGGAAATACTGGTATGACTATAATAAAAATTAATGATTATAAACAAAGATTTTATAGTATTTTTTATAGCAGCATGCCCATGCCGCCTATTAAAAAGTTGTTTTTATTGTTAACGTTAAAACTCTCTAGACTACTTGAGTAATTCAAGCAATCTCAAGTAAGTTAACTGATCGAACGAATCTAATGAAAATATATTATTACAGTTATAAGCTTACCTGTAATTCCTGTATAAGCTTCTTTCCTGTTCGTTTCATGCCAGCATTGATTTCTAAAACGTTAAAGTTCATCTCATTTGCTAAAGCAAATACAGCACTCGTTTTTCCGCTTGATATTGGACCCAGCAGAACCATTGTGTTACAAACACCATAAGCGCTTGAATTTGAATCATTTACAAAATCTACAGAATCATCTAATGCTTGTGAGCTGCGGACACTACTGCTGTTGCTATCAGACCAATTAGAGAGAAAATCCCGTAGCTGCGTTATAGGGGTTAAATTTACTAGAACCTGTTCGAACAACATTGGTCTGTATTTTTCATTGAATAGCAATTCACCATTTGGTGCTGCACTTGGTGGTTTATACTCAGTGCTATCATCAAAGTTATTTTTCGTCTCTGTAGTTCGAGTAGTGCGACGAGTTACTACAAAAGACTCCGTTACTTGCTCCGTATTTTGAGCTGAATCTATCGCACTGAAATATCGATATTTTTCACGCAATTGGTTGTAACACTTGTAGGTTGGAAAATTTAAAAATTTACTTTTCCACATTTTAACGATTTTAATTTTATTTTGCAAAACAGGCAACGACTGCAGTTTAACATTTCTCATCGCGTCATTGATGTTGCATTTGCTTATCGTACGAAAATCTTGAATAGTGCAACTTGTAAGGTTACCAATGGAAGAACGACTTTTACTTTTAGATTTTCTGTTTGAATTCTTTATACTATCATTATCTGTGTCTGCTCTGAATTTTATTTCAAAAGCTTTATATTGCACCAATGATAGATCATTAGCATCAAATTGTTGTACATGTGCTATTTTTGGAAACAATTCTATTGATTCTTCATATATCAGTTCTTGTTGCTTTTGTTTCGCCCATTCTAATCGTATTTTTTCCGGCAACCCTGACATCAAAAATTCCTTACGTGCTTTTAACACTTCAGGATCTGGTGGGGGCTTCGGAATAGAACGTACAAATACTGGTGCTAATTTTTTAGGAGTTTGCGTTGGTGTTTCATTTGAACTACTCTCATCTAAATTGATAACTTCAACGATGTCATCTCTATCATCCTTACATTTTGTTGCTTTTGACCTTGAACTGTTAGCTTTATTAGATATCTCTGTATTTATATCATCCAAATCATAATCATAACGTGCTTTATCAGCGCAAGATCGTTTAGGACGGCCACTAGGTGTTGTACACTGTTCTTCTGACAATTTCTCGTTGGTTTGCTTAATGTTATTACTGGAATTTATTTCAATCGGTGTTCTTCGTTTTGAATTACGTTTTTGATTGATTTTTGGTGTCAATTGTTTATCTTCTTTAGTTTTTGTTGTTTCCACTTCTTTTTTTATGGAGTCTTTAGGTGACTCTTTTTTTGAAAAATATCCTAATAGACTATCACGTTTCTTTGTAGGTGAATTTAGTTTAGATAAAAACTCCACTGTTTCTTCATCCAATTTTTTAATGTCATTTAAAGATTCTTCTGATTCTAATGATTCCAAACGTTTTCGAATACGGCTTTTTCGTTTTACTTTCTCTTTACAAGTGCTTGTTGGAGTAACGGCATTTGAACTCTGCGATAATCCATCGTTTGCTTTATGATTTTCTTTTAATCGTGAAACTGGTGAGCTCTTTGGGGTGTGACCATTAGTAAGCATTTTCTTTAATCTGCAAGTAATATATATATTAAAGTTATTTATTTATATTTTATTTCAAAATTAATAATTTGTACTCTCACCGTTTTGCACGATGTTTCATTTCTTGTTCTATGTATTCTTCACGCATTTCTTCATCAGCCCTTCGTTTGGATGCTCCTTTCTTCTCAGCCCAATCTTCAAGCAATAACTTCCGTTTTATTTTTATTGCCGACTTTTCAGCATCTACTTCACATACTTCCGATACTTCTCTGCCAGGTGAATTTGAACCAATACTTTTATTGCGTGCATTCATTAATACTTCAAAAGCGTTGGTTTTTTTTATCTCATTGACGCTGGTAGTTTCGTTTTTGTTATTTGTAATGACATCTGACTCAATATTATCACTTTTTTTTGGTGTGCGTGAAAAATGGTTCAATATACTTTCATTGGAAACCGATTTTAGTGGGGATTTTTGATATTTGTTCTTTGTTTTCGTATGAATTAAATCATTTTCAAGTGCAGATTTTTCTTGTAATGGCTTCTTTTTATGTTTTCTTTCACTTTTTTCAACCTTTGTACTTTCGGGTTTATTTGAAATACGATTTAATCCTGCCTCTGCAGCTTCAATTTGAGCCAATTTTTTCTGTTCTCTTTTTCGTCTGTGTTTTTGTCGATGTTTCTTTTTGACCGAATTTAAAACTTCCTCCATGTTTTGCAATATCAACTTTGAATTTGCAATTGGTGCTTTTATTACAAATGGTATAATTGTTGATTCCGATTCACAGTCACCATTCGTTCCATTAATTTGTTGCACTGGTTCGTTTATGGCACTAACAACCGTGTCCACTTGTGCCGTTGTCGTGTTATAATCACTTCCAGATCTTTCAATAGAGGTGTGAGAATCAGTCATTTTCATAGCGGATATAAACATTTACAATCTTTAAATCAAAATAAAATAATAAGTAACAACTCAGTTACAGAAACACAAAATTTCGACAGGCAAGTTACTATTCCTTATAGCACAGAAGCATGAAAATAAGTAAATTTTGAAAATTAAATGAAAACAACTTTTAATCTGTACTAAATTCAAGCCAAATTTTTTTAGTAAACTGATTAACCATTAATCGGTGTCTTTACAAGCTCACCAATATTTTGCTGACACAACACATAATTAGGCATGATAATTACAACGTAGCAAATATTCTATCTCATATGGTCTCATTGCATTGTAAATTATTAAAAGTTCAGAATAATGAATTTCGATGAAAAAAAACAACTTATATTGGAGAAAATTTCTTCAACTAGAAATAAAAATTCCTTTCAACACATTGTCAAAATAATTTAGCGAAATGGCGCGGTAAAAGCTGTCATTTGTAGACAGAAATCATAAGATATGTTCAGTGCAAGTACATCTTAACATATTGAAACAAATAGTACAGTACGTTTAAACGTATGCCATGTATTCTTATGTCACATTTAATATGGCGTTTACATTGGCCGAAAATGGCTCATTTTGAATGAGCCATTTGAAAGTGTTTACATTCGTTGTAATTCATTTGTTCTCATTTCAACCAGCTGATTTTTCAACTTCCTTGTTGATTTGATTTTATCCTGTGCCAAAAAATATTTCATGAAGATTAAATATGCTTTCAAACCTTACAATATAAACTTAAAACATATTTTTAACTTATACGGCGTTTACATTGGCCGAAAATGGCTCATTTTGGTCAAAAATCGAAAATGAGTATCGAATGGCTCATTCTTGCATATAAAATTTTAAGCACAAAAATGAGCAATTTTCTCACATTCTGTATGAAAGACGTTCGAATGCATTCCACATATGTTCCAAATGCAAAGGAATCTATTGAACATACCCTAAATGAAAGCTCTTCATGGCATTTTGACAGAAAAAGCTGCTTTGACATATTTACAAAAAAAGATAAACAAATGTTTAGTGGTTGCATTTTCTTTAAAACGATGCACCAATTTTTGGAACTTCTACTTCCCAAAAATAAATAAATCGAATCTAGAAACAAGTTTTCAGTTTATATTGTAAGGTTTGAAGGTATATTTAACCTTCCTGTAACATTTTTTTGGCGCAGACCAAAAATTAAATCAACATGCAAGTTGAAAAATCAGCTGTTTGAAATGAGAAAAAATGAAATACAACGAATGTAAACACTTTCAAATGACTCATTCAGAATGAGCCATTTTCAGCCAGTGTAAACGCCATATTAGATTAATTACCTTTTGGGAAGTAGAAGTTCTAAAAAGAGGTGCATCGTTTTCAAGAAAATGCAACCACCAAACATTTGTTTACCTTTTTTTGTAAATATGTCAAAAACAGCTTTCTCAAACTGTGAAAATGCCATGAAAAGCTTTTATTTAGGGTATGTTCAATGGATTCCCTTGTATTTGGAACATATGTGGAATGCATTCGAACGTCTTTCATTCAGAATGTGAGAAAATTGCTCATTTTCGCGCTTGAAATTTTATATGCAAGAATGAGCCATTCGCTACTCATTTTCGATTTTTGACCAAAATGAGCCATTTTCGGCCAATGTAAACGCCATATAAGCCGTGTGCGAGTTGAAGTAAATTGATGGCAGCGAATGTTGGTATTTATCAACATTTTTGGTAATGTAAATTAAGTAAAAATTAGGTAAATTAGGTGTTACCATTGCGAAAATTTTTCAAGGTGTTTAATAAAGAAAGAAAAATAACAAATAAGTGCAATAAATTGCATATTGCATATTTGTAATTGCATATTTGTAACACATATAAATAAATATTTACATAAGTGCAGTGCATCCCTAGGAAATATCAATTTACTTTACCTTAACTTAATTAAATTATATCAAAAGCCATATTTAGCATTTTCCACATATGCTTACATTTTGACTCGGTTTAGTTTTTGACACATTTTTTCCTTATAATTTCAAGCAGTCACTGCCTGTTTTTATATAATTCATATAATCATAAATACAAAAGAAATCATAAAACAAAAAACAATTTGGAATATATGCACTAAAGACGGTGAGCAGGTGTTTATATTGGCCACATAATGGAAGAAACACTTAAAAAAAAATACGGTTGATGAAAAGATGCTAGAGAGAGTTGATAGACTAATCAATTTTGAAGATGGAAAGAGGATATCCGCACCAATGGACTGTAACGGACATAGTGACTAGTCAATATATTTTTTTTATTTTCCATTTTTTATTTCTTTGTTTGTTATCAATATAGTTATAGGACATGTGCGATTTAGGCTAAGTTGATGCTAAACCAAATGGGATATTTTTGGGATTTCTTGCACTGCACACATTTAGTCATTTATCAACCCGTATCGACACAACACTACATTATCGGCACAACTTAGAATTTCCCGCATTTAGAACGCAACTTAGGTCGTGTGCGAGTTAGGCTAAGTTGCGTTCTAAATGAGGGAAATTCTAAGTTGTGTCGATAATGTATTGATGTGTCGATAACGTGTTGATAAATGGCAAAATGTGTGCAGTGCAAAAAATCCCAAAAAATCTCCCATTTGGTTTAGCATCAACTTAGCCTAACTCGCACACGTCCTTAGCCTAACTCGCACATGACCTAAGTACCTCACTAAGTAAGCAGTGGAAATGTAGTATAAGCAGTATTCAAAAATTTAACATTAATAAATGCGTAGCAATTACTGATTTTATTTAATTTGATTTGTTTAGTATATTCAAAATATTTTAAAAAATTTCTTTCACATATGTTAAAAAATTAATTTTAATAAAAAATATTTCATAATATATAGTTCTTTTATTTGCAAAGCAATGAATTTTCGATATAAAAGTGTTTAATGTAGTAATATGGGTTGTTTTTCAAAATTTTGTGAAAATGTGCTCATTTCGACTTATGAAATCGATTTCAGCCATTTACTCAGTTTGCAACACTAATTCTTATTGTTATTGGGAATCTCTGTCAGCTGGAAGCGGAGTCTTTTCTATCATAGAATAATTTTAGTTGAATACGGTTTTGTGAAATTTCGCAACCAGAGAAATTTATAAAATTAAGTTCAGCAGTATTAATGAACACACAGTCTAGAAATGGCGCCAAGAAGGAAAAAGAGTGGAAATGGTTCCAACAAATCTGAATCGGATTCTGAAGTTACATTAAAAAATAAAATAGACAATAATGGTTCGGAGAGAACTGATATGAATTTAAAAATTAATACAGTGCGTAAGACATTAAACGAAAGAAGGAAAATGTTGGAGATCCAAGAAGAACAAACAAGACATTCTTTAGGATTGTCAGCAGAAAATGACGCTTGCGCTCGTAATTTAATAAAATCATTTATGAAAGATGTCAGTAAAAAAGTAGAGCGTAAACAAGAAAAGAGAAAAGCCGCAGTCGCAACCGAAGATTTCAGTAGAAAAGCACAGCAAAATTCCGTTACGTCAACCAAATCAGTTAGGGAAACATTTGCAGTACCGCGCACTCGAAAAGATATTTCCCAACATAATGAAGGACTAATCAAGTTAATAACAGAAATAGTTAAACAAAATCCAAATCTTAAAGAGAGTGTAATTAAGTGTGCGAGTGAAATACCCAACTTGCGCGGTCGTCAAATATTTGTTTATGATCTAGATGGACCAACATGTAGTCGTTATCGTGAAATGTCAAAAAATGATCATTTTAATGATAGAAGTGCCAATTCGACTAAAACAAATGGGCTTGTTGAAATCAAGGAACCAACTAAAAAAAAAACCGCTAAATATGAGTTGGAGAAGTATATAAATTCGTCTGTTAAGGATTATGTCGAAAAAGGCACAGAACTTGCTGAATCTCTAATATTTAATTATTCAATGAATCTGGAGGAATATGCCAATCGTCTTGTGGAAAATGATTTAGGTCGTATCGTAGAAGCTGAGATACGTATTAATCGCAAGAATAATAGTCAATCTTTTATTCCACTATCAACTGAGAGAAACAGCGGAATACGCGACGCTGCTATATACTTGCCTGTAGCACGCATGTATGCTTTTGAAGGCGATACTGTACGTGCATTTGTATTTAATCCTGTGTCTACAACAATTGTTGACCTTTCTGGATCCGGTGGTATGATACATTTTAGCTTTTTTTAAACTTTTTATTTATTTAATTTTTTTCAGATGACGATGACCAAATTGAATCAGATGGTTTAAATAATAGTATTGTCATGCACTGCCCCAAAGCGTTTGCAATTGCCATTGTTAAAGAGGGCAGTCAGCGTCAATTCATTGGTGCGGTTTGCTTTAGGAACTTCGTAAAGCTACACGATGGAGAAAATTATTATAAATTAAGACCAAATGACATACGCACACCAATGGTATTTATACCACAGTCGAGTTGTCAAGAATATTTAAAAGAAATTGAAAAACTAGAAATGGATATGTTATTCCTTGCCAAATTTGTTAAGACAGATATTAATGGACATTGTATAGGTGAAATAATACAACCCATCGGTAAAGCTGGTGAACTGGAGACTGAAACGAAAGCTATTTTAATTTCAAATGGTTTACATGAAATAAAACCCTACGAAGAACGGTTTAATGCAATATTCGATAACAAACCCTTGCAAATTGTGCCTGAAGACTTAGTTCATAGAGAAGACTTACGAAAATGTTGTATTTTCACAATAGATCCACTAACAGCACGCGATTTAGATGACGCAATGTCAATTGAAGTGATAAGTGAAAATGAGTTCGAAGTTGGTGTTCACATATCAGATGTTTCTCATTACCTCTTAGAAGATACAGAACTGGACGATATAGTTAAAAATCGTGCCACATCAATATATTTAGTGAATGATGTTATACATATGCTACCAAAATCACTATGTTTCAAGTGCTCACTGTTACCGGGTGAAGATAAGTATGCTTTTTCAGTATTTTGGCGAATGAATGGAAATGGAGAAGTATTAACTCAACCTCGTTTTACACGTTCAGTGTTAAACTCTTGCACACAATTTGCTTACGAGCATGCACAAACAATCATTGATAATCCAGAAAAAAACTTTGATATTGACGATTTACCCACAATACTTAATGGATTTACAATTTCTGACATAGTTTCAAAAATACTATTATTGCATTCAATTGCTGTAAAGCTGCGCGAAAAACGCTATGAAAATGGTGCTTTGTCAATAAATAATCCGAAAATGCGTTTCTCTTTAGATCCACTTACAGCTGAACCGCTTAGTTTTCAAATAGAGGACCGAATTGAAGCAAACTTTTTAATTGAGGAATTCATGTTACTTGCAAACCAAACCGTTGCGAAATTCATATATGAAAAGTATCCAAATATTTCCA